AAAATCCAGCGAGGATCAAGGGAGAGGACACCAGCAGCCCGTGGCATGCCATGGTGATGCAGTCAATCCTGCGGTCCCCCCAGAGCAAAGCACCCATCAAAGGCAAGGCTTTGGGGCCTGCTGGCTCCTGCTGCAGAAGAGTATAAAGATAACCCTGAAGTCAAGGGCCACTGGGCAGGGTGTTTATGCTAGTGGCACTATGTGGCTTAAAGGAAAAAAAAAGACAAGCTTGAAGTCCAAATTCTCAGCTCAAGGCATGGTTAGAAAACCAGGGAATTTTTGTAACTTGCAACTGCAAGGGTGAGAGAGTAGGCCAAACTTAAAGCATGATCAGTGGTTATAAAGTGACACCATCAGGTGGCTTCACATGCTTGCTGGTCTCTGTGGGAAGATGTGGAGGACTTAGTTTGTCCCCCTCCCCCACGGAGCCTCCCTTGGTCATCCTGAAGGGCCTGGGGGCAGGCACTCACTAGCCCTTTGTCAGACCCACACCCCAGGCATCCAGGGCCCTTCTCAACCCCCCTTGTCGTTAGTGGCTGGGCTGCAGGGCGGTTGGTGGCTGTGGGTGGGTGGCCTGGGCACCACTCCCAGGCCCATAGCACCCTCCTGGTGAGCGTCCGCCGCCCTGCTCCCTGAGCTGGCCGCCTGGAGGCCAGCGCCCCGGGTGAGCTGGGCCTCAGGCAGCCTGCGCTCGCCCGCACCCCCATCCCACGTGTGCACCCGTGGCCAGCAGCAAGCATTTCCCCGAGTAATAATCTTGTAATGGTCTTGTAACCACCTCGCCCCGAAGGAGTCCCCTGGCGTGCCCTACCCCACCTCCCTGTGTTTTCTCTGGACTGAAACAACAAGTGAGACCCCGGCAGGACCCAGAGGGCCAATGACTGCAAATCTGGGATGAGCATTGAATCACCAAAAGAACCGAGAGATTTTGCTCATTTATATTGGCAAAAACCTCGGAAAGTGATCCAGGAGTGGGTTCTGAGGGTGGACACTGGGGAAGGAAGAAAATAATGTTTTTGGGATTGAATATATTGATATTTAGGATTCTGTGTGGCTTATTTGAGTAGCTAGGATGGTTCTAATTGTTCATGCTGATGCTTGCTTAAAACTTGGACTCAGTTGTGGCCAAATAATATGAGCTAATAGCTAATCATAATAAGGAGAATGAGAATAGCTAGGACTTACTGAGCATTTGCTGTCCGCCAGGCAGTTTCAAGCACTGTACTTATTTAAAATTTATTTAGTTAACAAATGGAGTTTAGATGGTATAATGTTGATGAAGGAATAAAAAAATTAGGTCACTAGCTTAGCTGAGCTAATATTCATCAGTGTTTACCAGTCTCACCAGGCACTGTCCCAAATACTTTAATATATTCACTCGTTTTATTATCCTCATCTCACAGAAAACAAGGCAGAGAGGTGCTGTAGGAACGGGGCTGCACAGCCGGAGGTGAGTTTGAATGCAATGCACTTGACTCCTCCCCAAACCCCCCACCCCCCACCCGGGTCTGTGGAAATATTGTCTTCCAGGGGACCAGTCTTTGGTGCCAAAAAGGTTGTGCGCCGCTGTGTTAGGGGGACCAACTGTCCTGGTTTGCTTGGGACGGAGGGGTTTCCCAGTGTTAGGCACGATAGGTAGGACACCAAGGCAGGGAGGAGGAGAGAGACATGTCTCATGTCAACTCAGCCGTCCTGAGCCTGGTCCGACAACATTGCCAGGTGTTCCAACAACACAAGAAACACTACGTTAGCCCTGGAAGAGGGAAGCCCTTGAAATTCTATGTATCGTTTCCACTATCTGAGAAAGAACACCCTTGAAACTGTGTATTCATCCCAAGGTCTAGGCGGGGGAAGAGGAGGGGGTCCCCGGAGCCCAAAGAAGAAGCCCATAAAACAACTTTGGTTAATTGCCTACCGCTGTTCATTATCTGTTTTAGAGGGAGTCCCTAGTGCCTACAGAAAGAGCCATAAGTAACTTTGGGTAGCTGCCCAAGCTTTAATTAACTGTCTCCTGTCATGTATCTCTTTTACAACAAGAGGAACAAATAAAGTCTGGAGCAAGACAAGGATTTGGGCTCACAGACCCCCACACATACCTACGTTTGGTAGTCACATCCACCTGGGAAAGCTGGTACCACCTTTATGCATCAATCAATATGTAACATCTTCACCCCCATCCCACCAACTCTACAAGTCCTTAGAACAAAGGACCTGGTGCTCTTGACCCCCTTGCCCTGCTTTGCCCGGAACCTGTGCCTTTCACCCCCACCTCAGCAAGGCCTGTTCTCTTCCATGAGAACCTATCACTAATAAACCCTGCTTGCACGCTAATAGATTTACTGATCTGTAATTCTTTACTGTGTCAGCAAGAAGAACCGAGTTTCTCCTGTAACACCAACATGTGGGACTTCGAATGCTAAAACTGGAATGGTTCCAGGCAAATTGAGACAACTGTTCCCCCTCCATGTTAAGTTGCCCAAAGTCACACAGTTAGCAAGTGGCAGAGCCTGGCCCCAAATTCAAGGGGTATGACTCTAGACCCAAGCTCTCTGCCTCTCTCTACCCATGGTTCTCGAACCAGAGCCTGCATTTGAAGTATCTGGAGGTCTTGTTAAAACCCGGATAGCCTGTCTCATCTTCAGAGTTTCCCCAGGACAAAACTAACTTTGGGGCAGCTGAGAATTTGCTTCTCTAACATGTTCCCAGGTGATGCCAATGCTACTGGTCCAAGGACCAACATGGAGAACCACAACATTGTGCTAACTTGCCTCGGGACAAGAAGATTGCCGTGGATTCACCAGGTAGGACCTGCTCACTGCCACCTCCACCTGCAAACCCTGAGGAGGCCCTGAAGCCATGTCTTTTGCTATTACATTGAGAAATACACTGATGAGGGACATATGATAGTGGCAGGGATGCTGAGGGGAAAGGCTGCAGCAGAATGGGAATCTGGTGCCTGGGGCGTCAGAGCCTCGGGGGCCCTGGGCTGCCAGCGCTGGTGGCCCCAGCAGAGGCGGGCTGCCCTAAAGGCAGCCCCAGGGTCGGCGCTGCTGGAGTGTACTCTGCAGTTCCGCGCCTGCAGCATGATGCAGGGGTCCGCCCAGGCTGGCTTTTCGGCAGAATCTGGGCCACTATTTCTGGCCGCATAGGTGCCCAGCCTGGCTCTCTGACTCCCCCGAGGGTCCTGTGACTGACCGTTGTCCTTTTTGAGTTTTCAAGTTGAGGTGAAGTTTTCCTAACATGAAATCAATCAGTGTGGTGGCTTTTAGTACGTTCGTAGTTACGATTGGTCTACGTTCCACATTTATTTAAGTTCTACAACATTTTTATCATTCCAGGATAAAACCTGTACCCGTTAAGCAGCTATTCCCCATTCTCCTGCTGCTGCTGGCAAACACCAATCTATTTTATTTCAATGGGTTTTCCTGTCCTGAATATTTCATATAAAAGGAATCATACAATATGTGACCTCTTGTGACTAGTTTCTTTCACTGAAAATAACATCTTCAAGGTTCACCCACCTTGTGGTATGTATCAGTACTTCATTCCTTTTAATGGCTGGATAATACTTCATGCACACACCACAGGTTTCCTACACATTCATCCATTGGTGGACATTTGGGTTGTTTTTACCTTTTGGCTATTGTGAATAATGCTGCTATGAACTTTGTGTATAGGAACTTGTTTAAATTCTTGTTTTCAATTCTCTTGGGTACATCCTTATGAGTGAAATTGCTGCATCATATGGCAGTTGTGTTTAACTTTTCGAGGAATTGCCAAACTGTTTTTTAACAGTGGCTGCACCATGTTACATCCCCACCAACGGTGTATGAGGGTGCCAGCTGGTCCACGTTTTCATCAACACTTGTTATTGGCTGTTTCTTTGGAAACAGCCTTCCTAATGAGTTTGAGGTGGTATCGCCTTGCGGTTTGCTCCGGATTTCCTAATGGCTAGCGATGTTGCTCACTTTTCATGTGCTTGTTGGGCACTTGAGTGTCATTTTGGAGAACTAACTATTCAAGTCCTTTGCTCGTTTTTGAATCATTGTCCTTAGGATAAATTCCTTCTCTGCCATGACTAGCCAGAGCTGTTTCTATCGGTTGCAACTAAGAATTGTGATTGATACACTTCTCCCCACCCCACGGCCCCAGGCCACACTTCTCCCTCCAACCAGCAAAGCCACGCCACGTGGGCACATGACAGTATGCAAGTGCGCCGTGGCACCTTCCGGACAGTAAGGACATGCCTGCCTGGATCCTCTCACCACCGTAGGCAGAGGAGGGAGACATAACAGACCCCCGGGCAGATAATCACGAGGGAAGAAGGAACAGGAGAAGCAGGCAGATAGAGCAAAGGCAGAGGGTGTGAATGGGACACAAAGCCAGCAGAGGCAGTGGCGAGAGGAGCTGGAGCAAGAAATGAAGGACGCAAATGAGGCTTCTAAGTCTATGCATTGCTCAGGAACATGGAGCCTGGAAACATCCAGAGGGTGGCCGGGGTCCCCTGGGCGAGCAGGGAGGGGACTCGGGTGGGCAGGGAACTATGGCACCCTCTGAGCCTCAGGCACTCCCCGGTCTTCCAGGGCCATCCTGGTTCTTCTGAATTCCCCTTCAAAAAAAGCACTCACGAGTTTGGCTGCTTCATAACTTAGTTTAATCTTTTGTGGAGTGCATCCTGGGCTGCGAGGATTCTCCATCTGCCCCAGAGCATCCAGCCCAGATGGAGGGGAGCAGTCTCATCTGATCCCTGGCCTTGGCTCTTGTTTTGCCACCTAATCAAGGCCCATCTCCCCAATCAAAAGCAGGCTGAGGGGCCCCAGGCTCCCCTTCCCCTATGCTAGCCTCCCTATTGGCCCTGCCCCACCTCCTGCAAGGTCTGGGACCTCTTCGGATGTTGGGCTTGAGGTCCTGGCCTGGCCCTTGTTCCAGACAGATGGGCAGACAGGCAAGCAGGGGGCCGGTGCACCCAGGGAGAGACAAGGGAGAGGCATGGTCGAGTGTCAGGGCCCTGGGTCCCACCGGGAAATGTGCTCCTGAGCTGGGAAGGAAGCAGAACAGAGTGAGGGTTGATGGCAGCCCAGGGAGTCCTGGGATGGGGACCCTGCTGCACTTGACCCAGAAATACCCTTGGCCATGGTCCCATGTAGCTCCGACCCCCCAGCATGTGCTGCTGGGAGCCAGTTCTCAACTAGGCTTCACCTCTGCATCCCCCACCAGAGTTCACTGGGTTCTAGAGAATCAGGTAACACTGAGGAACCCGACAGGTCCCCAAATAGCTACTTTAGTGACAAGAGGAAGGGGCCTTGGAGAGATCCCCGGCCAGGCTGTCCTTTCAGTCCTGCCTCTGTGCGGATGCTGCGTTGTGTGAGGCTGGGCCCATCCTCCCTCTCAGGGTATCTCAGTGGCCCGTCTTGAGCGGGCATTCTCAGTGGCCCCGTGCGCTCAGACACTCTCTAGGCCTGTGATCTGGATGTCCTGGCAGACCAGATGGGGCCAGCAGCTACCCCAGGGGACAGGGCCACAGGAGGGGAGCCATGGAGGGCCCTCACCAAACTGGCAGATGTAGCGATTTCGGGTTTTGCAGCGTTGGTCATTCCAGTTGAAGGCTGCTGAGGCCTGCAGCTCCACGCAGTTGCCAAACCTGCTGGGCCAAGAGGTGGGGAGCTCAGGAGGGACGTTATTAGGAGCCTGGGAGAGGCTTAAATCCTCCGTCCCAGCAGGCCCCCTACAGCTAAGAGGCCTCAGTGCCTGCATCCTGTGTATGGGGCTTCTGGGATCCAGACCCAGCCCAGGCACCCATCCTGCTCCCCAGACCACTGGGGTTCTCCTTGGGGTGGGGGAAGTGCTGGGAGGTCTTGGCACACCCCCTACCTAGGCCAACACTCAGCCACAACAGCCAATGGGGGTAGGGAGGGGACCTGGAACACAGGCCCAGATCCTCCCTCCCAGCAGGGGGAGGTGCGCCTGGGAGCTCAGCCCGGCTCACTTCCTCTAGGAGGGGGGCCCAGGGCACGGGCCTGGCTGCCATCATGGAGGCTGAGGGAGGGTTGGGCGAGATAGTTGAAGTCCTTGGTGGCCACACAGCCTGACCACCTCCACCTCTGCCCCCCCCTGCCCTGGGCATTCCTGTGACTTTGAAGACCAGGGCGGGACCACATAACCAGAAGGCCCTGAGTACAGGCTGGCTGGTGGGTGGATGCTGTGTGAATGGATGCAGGCGAGTGGATAGCTACAGAATTCGGGAATCTCTATATTCATACACAGGGGTCGGGAAGGGGAATGGATAACAGACGGAAGGGGCCGTGGGGCAGGTGGATGGATAAAACCTTCTTGGGTTCCTTTTTCTTGTGTGAACACCTGGAGGCCCGGATGTGCCTCACCTCAGCACCCAGCTGGGCCCTGGCTTCCTGGGCACCTGGGTGTCAGGGGAGGCCCAGGCCCTCAGAGGGCTCAGGCAGGCAGCAGGCCGGGCAGAGGCTCCCCAGTGGCGCCTGAAGGCGTAGTGAGCAGGCCCAGGGGAGCAGGTGGGCCCAGGGGAGGGGCACCCCAGACTCACCCCTGGTTGTCAGGCTGTCCAAAGGCAAAACTGGCGAAGGACTGGTGCTCCCCGGTGGACCAGCGGAAGGCGTCCTTAGCGGCCTTGTAGGTGAGCCCTGGGCGAGGCAGCCAGGGTGGCCCCATGACCCGAGAAGGAGGGCCCCGAGCCCTGGGCCTGCTGCCTGGTGCCCGTCGGGTCCCAGCCCCCAACCCCGCTTCCCTGCTCTTCAGTCCCCCTGCCGTTTTCTCTCGCTTCGGCCCTCTCCCCAGGGAAGGGGGTGGCCAGCCTGACGCCTGGCCCGTTCTGGGCTCCCAGCCCGCACCACACCCTCCCTGCCTGCTGGTGGGTGCTCTGGGTTTCCCCAGCCCAGGTTCCTGCGGCGTTGCAGGGCATCCCAGCCCCCGCACTCACCGATCCAGAAGTTCTTGGTCTCAAAGTCGCTGTCGGTTACCTCGTTGCTTGCCTCCAAGCGGCCCAGGTAGAAGGCGAGGATGTCTTGTACTTTCTGGCTCTCGATCTGGGCGAGGACCCCGCCCTTCCCCTGCAACCCCCACTCTGGGTCACGCTGGCAGGGCCCAGGTCTCCGGCCAGCCCCGCCTGCCGCCCCACCGTGGCCACTGATAACAAGCAGGTGTGGTGGCTACGCTGTCGTCACCACCCCCCACAGCCTCCTGCCTCTCGGGGTGGGGGGCCCTTTTCCGCCCCTCCCCGCACAGGGGTCTGGCCTGGCAGCGCCCTGCCATCGGAGGGATTTTGTTGTACCTGCTCAGTGCCTTAAATCCATCGGAGTCGCCTGTCGGCATTAGTAAGTCTAGAGATGCCAATGAAAACCTGGATTTCTGGTTCTCCTAAAAAATGCTGAGTTCTGGCCTCCCTGAATCTGCTTGCTCCCCGCAGGTGGAGCTGAGTCAGGATAGCTCCTTAGATGGAGCTTGGGTGGGGCCTTGTCCCTGGTCCTTCAGTTCATTAAGTGACCTTGTGGTTTCTATGGGCCTCTGAGTGGACCCCTGCTTTATGCTAAGGGTGACGATGCTAAGGATGAGAATCGAGTCAGAAGACGTCAAAGGAACCGTCTCTTAGTCCAGGGTCCCTCCATTAAGACTCCTGCTTGAAACCCTAGGGGGACCCCTGCGAAGGCAGGGGTCACCTGTCACCTGGCATTTCATCTTGGCTCCGTAATAGGTGTCTGCCTCCGAAGACACCATGAAGCAGTCTCCGTCGATCCTCAGGTCACAGGTGTGGAAGGGAAAGTGTACCTTGGCTGGGGAGAGGGGAGCCCGAGTTTGTGTGTGGGGATCTCCTGTCAGAATTGTTAACCCTGCCCACTGTGCTGGGGAGCTGAGCTCAAGGTGCCACCCGCTGGAGAGTGGGCGGGGTCAGCGGTGTGCTGGTAAATGTGTAACAACCAGCTCTCTGCCTCAAACACAAAAAAGTTTATGATTCATAGCATTTGCCAATTTCTGTGGTGTAAATATCCACACCATGACTCATATCAAACTATCAATGCCACTGAACATGGAATTGGGAAGAGATATACACAACGGGCAACTATGAGCTGGTCTGAGCCAGATCCAGCGCACCATTGAGGGGGTCCCGGGAGGGGCCCGGCTTTTGGGGGCTGTGGGTCAGGACTCACTGGCACACTGGGCTCCCCCGTAGCCTACGTCACAGACACAGGAGCACTCCTCCTCCCGGAACCGGCCGTGCACGCACTGCACGCTGCACCGCACTGCCAGGGCGGGCCAGGGAGACACAGTGCTCAGCGCAGCCCCGGGCCCCCTGCCGCCCCTCACAGCCTTTGGACATGCAGGGACTGGCCGACCACAGAGAGATCGCCCCCCTCAGGGATGGAGCCCACTGGGCTTCCAGCTGCTGTCACATGTGGCGTCTTTGCTTTGACCATGTGGTAGAAAGAAGCAAATTGGGGTTTGGGGGGTGATCTACCTGTGGTTACAGAGCTGGGGTCAGGGGACAGTGGGAGAAGAATTGACTTCTGAATCCTAGTTCTGTCTTCCTCCCAATACCCCACAGCCTATGGGGCCGATCTGATTCCATTTTGAGTCCCCTGCACAGCTCCGGGTCTGGCAGTCAGTGCTCAGGGAAGCTTGTTGAATGACTATGCGCAGTGGGCAGACCAGCACATACAGGTGTCAGAGCCCCTAACACACTTGGTCCTCCCTCGAAACTCACTCAGGGGGTGCAATGCAGCCCCTGGGGGCACCCCATGAGTGTGTGCATGTGAGAGAGTGTGTGCATTGGGCTCAGGCCCTCCGCAGCCCCGGGGGCTGTGGGCTGGGCCTAGACTCCACTCCCTGGGTCCCTGGCGCCGTTGTGATCTGGAACCCCAGGTGCTCCTCACCTTGGCAGTATCTACCCGTGTAGCCAGGGGGACAGTGGCAGTGGCAGGTGCTGATGTTGAGATGCCCGTGGTTCCGGCAGCTCATGCGACATGGGTTCCTGGGGACCTCTGTCCAGAGAAGGAGCAAGCTCTGAAAGGAGGACTCCTCCTGGCAGGTGCCTTCCTGGAGCAAAGGCCCCGGGCTCCCAGCGCCCCTCAGGATGCGGCCCCCTCATCTCATCACCAGACTGAGCTCCCATATGCCCACCACCCAGAAGGAGGCAGGCAAGGTGGGCACTTACCACAGAGCCCCCCTGCGTGGTCCCAGGCTTTGAAGCAGCCCGAGACGCTGGCAGTGCAGAGCGAACACCATGCGCCCTTCTTATAGGGGACGATCGTCTTCCCATTGACCTCCCAGTTGCCTCTGTGAGAACAAGCCCCAGGGGGCTGGAAGGGCCAGGCTGGGGCGAACTCTACTGCCCACCCCACCCCTCCCTTCAGCTCCTTCTGGCCCAGGCAGGGTGCCAGGGAGCTGGGTGAGATGGCGGGGGGCAGGGGTGGTTTCCTAGGAAAGAAAAGAGTGCCTCTGAACAAACACTGGGAAATTCCCTGCAAGCTGGTGGTGCTTCCAGAAAGGGGCATCTGAGGAGACCACATTCTGCGTGGCCGGAATCATGGGTGCTGCCACCTCTGCACCTGATTCTTGACCCCTTTCTTCCCTCTCCCGCAAGGGTGTGGACCAGGAGGTCAAGCCCTTTTGGGTGAGTGGGTGGGCATCTCTCCTTGGGTGAATGCACCCTCCCTCCCCAGACCGGCCCCGACAGCCCAGCATGGTGGGGCTTACCCAGGAGCGTAGGCGCACACAAAGGCTTCCATCTCAGCCTGGTCCCCAGAGCAGGGATGTCGCCCACAGCCCAGCTGGCTTGAGGTGGCCCACACAAGCTGTGGGAGACACAGTGGCTCAGAAATCCTACTGGGCCACCCCCACTGCCAATCAGGGGCCAGCAGCACAGGTGATGCTCACCTGGGGAGGGAGGATATAGCTTTGGCCCCAAACCAGGCAGGCAGACAGCTCCCACCCCCGCTCAGGAGTAGCTGCTGTGATGGGCAGGGCTATAGGGTGGAAATAGTCTAGCAAGGCTTTCTGGGTCGGGGTGGGGAGCAGAGGGGTGAGGGTTAGCAGATACCAGAAGTCAAGGGGAAATTGTGAATGGGTGGAGGAGAGTCACAAAAGAAAGACTTGGACGTGAAAGGCCTTGTGACAGATTGCAGAAACGGCCACATTTCTCGCTTTAGCCGCCTTTTAAATGTGGCTTCACAGCCCTTTGCATCAATAGAAGGACTCTCCCATGCCCTGAGTCTGGCTGGCCCTATGGCTTACAGCAGAGGGGATATTGAGTCAGCTTTGAACCTAGGCCTCGGGAGACCCTGCAATTTCCACTCTCATAAAAGCCTACGTAAGCCACCACGTGAGCAAGCCTCCTGGAGAGGGAGAGCCCTCCCAGGGCAGAGAAGAGCCCGTTCAGGCCACGCTAGACAGCAGCTTCTGGCCAACCCAGCAGCTGGCTGCGGTTGCATGAGTGGGCCCAGCCAAGGCCAGAAAAACCTCCCAGCTGATCCCAACCCAAATTGCCCACCTGCAGAATGGTAAGACACTAAATTTGGGGTAGTGTATATTGTGCAGCAAAAGTTAAGGGATACGCATCTTTAACGGTATTCAAAACTTAGAATCAATGACAAGTTGGAATTAAGAACAAGTGGTCAAAGGAAATCTGGAATGATCTATGACCATTTCTAAAAGTTGAATCAGTAATTAACAATCTATGCATACACACACACACACAAAACAACCAACCAAAAAATAGAACAAGGCACAGATAGTTTTAAAGAAGAGTTATAGCAATAGAAAATGAAGCAAAGCTTCCAACTCATTTTAGAGGTCAGTGTGACATTGCCATAACCCAGGTAAGAGCAGTATGAGAAAAGAAAATCAGAAGACAATTTCACTGTCAAATAATATTTAGGAAACCAAATCTAGCAATGAACAAAACCGAAACAACACCCCCCCGCCATCACATTATTTCACATCAAATGACATGCAAAGTAGGCAGATTCTCAAAATATTTAACAAGCAGTAGCTGATCAAAACAAATGTTGGGCTGGAGCAGGGTTCTATGGCCCCACTACTGTGCCTGGCATTCATCTTTTTGTTCTAAATTATAGGAGAGATCCCAGGGGTCCCAGGGAAGAGGCTAGACCAGGTGCATTCTGGGAACTTGGAGTAGCAACTGTTTTAGCATTTGAATAACTGTTATAGCATATGACACACCCTGGCTGTTGTGGCCCAGTGGATTGAGCACTGGACTGTGAACCATAAGGTCACCAGTTTGGATCACAGTCAGGGCATGTGTCTGGGTTGCACAGGTCCCCAGTTGGGGGTGCACAAGGTTTCTCTCTCTCACTTTCTCCCTCCCTCCCCTCTGTCTAAAAATAAATAAATAAAATCTTAAGGAAAAAAAAAACATATGGTGCATAGATAAACCTTCAAGTAGGAAGATAAGGAAGAATGAACATTTTAAAATACATATTAATGTTGGTATTGTGATTATGTTTTTTTAAAAGTCATCTTTTATTGTTATTTATTGATTTTAGAGAGGAAGGGAGGAAGAGAGAAAGAAACATCAATTTGTTGTTCCACTTATTTATGCATTCATTGGTTGATTCTCGAACGTGCCCTGACCAGCGATCGGATTTGCAGCCTTGGCGTATTGGGACGATGCTCTAACCAATGGAACTACCCGGCCAGGGCAAAAAGAGTCATTTTTAGACATATATACTTATTTATAGATAAAATTGTGTGATGTATGAACTTTACTTAAAAATACCGTTGGAAGGCCCTGGTTTGTGGCAAGAGTGCAGTTGGCGCGATCGCGCTGGTCGGGCCTCGCAGGCCTGCAGGCGCGTGTGCTCCGTGACCCAGCCATTCCCCTTCCTAGGTGTGTCCTCGTGAAACTCAGGGGCATGCGCACAAGAGGATTGGAACTAAGACGTGCATTTCGGCATGATTTATAATAGCAAACACATAAAAATAACCTAAATGCCTGTAAATTTCAGTTTATTCTCAGTGAATCACCCATTGGTATCTGGATCACAGAAGTAAATCTTACAAGTATGGTCTGGAGTGATAAACACAAATGCACCACATAAGAGTTAATAACACCTGTCCCACCTGCATGAGCAGAAAGGGTAGAAAAACACTTTCACATGCAGTAAAGGTATGACAACATGCTTGGGATTTTGCCTGTGTTTTTTGTTGTTTTCCTTAGCACCTAAACAATGCCAGATATATGGAAAGAAAAACAAAGGAAACATGCTTGGGAACAATCCACTGGGACTTCAAGAAAGTTACCAGTGGGGAAGGAAACAAGAAAGGGCAGGAAAAGGGCTATAGTTTAGTTTAGATGTTGTTGCTGTTTTAAAAAGATGAGAAACAAATGCAGTTAATGTTTTCTAATTCTGAGTAGTGGGTAAGCGGGAGCCCATTATTTGAATTATGTTCGAAACATTTCATATTTAAAGCTGAAAAAATAAAACCAAAACATAAAAATGGGAGGAAAATCGGCCGCTAATTTTAAGACAGACTCTAGCCATTCTGAGCTGACCCCCACCGTGCTGGGGCCTCGGAGCCGGGACCCCAGCCTCACCTGCGTGTAGTGGGCGCAGGTGGCACCGTGGGCACACTCGGCCTCCGCGTGGTGGTACCGCTGGCCCTCTGCGAACCACAGGCCCACCACGTGGACAAAGGACGCTGAGCCCACAGGCAGCAGCTGCACATTCCAGCCCACCTGTGAAGTGGCCCGGTGAGAGGACACCAGGCTTGGGGCTGGGCCGCCACAGAGGGCCGCCCTGGCCTGAGCCTGTCGGGCTAGGTTCTCACTCCAGTCCTGGGGGAGGTACAAACAGAGGCATCAGCAGGAGGCCCTCTCCTGCCCTCTCCCACATGTTCCCGGGCAGCCAGTCCTGCAGAGAGGAGGGCCCTGGGCCAGGCATCCCACTTGGCTGCCGGGCTGCTCTGGGCAGGGTTTTATCCACCTCACCCGGGCCAGAGAGGGTCAGGCAGGGCCTGCACAGAGCTCTCCCAGGTGTATTGGGAAAAGCCCAGGTGCTGTCTGGATCCCCAACCTAGGGCCTGCCCCCCGCAGGACTTCGAGCCGCCATCCTCCGGACCCCTGTGTGGGCAGCCTGTGGCCCTGACCGTGGCACCGCCATCCGAGGGGGACAGGTGCTCAGAGGGAGTAGTGCCAGCCCAGGCGACGGGAGGGGTTTCTGCAGCAGTTTTTCCCACCTGGTAATGTGAGCCCTGGGCAGCGCCCAACCTTTTACACTGGCTCTGTGTTTGCCTTGAGCTACACCCGGCCCTGGCCATTGTCAGAAAGGCTCAGCTTCTCCTTCTCATCTCCCCTTTGATGCCAAAAAGCCATGGCAGCCATTTCGCCCCACCCCCCTCAGCCTTGGAGTGTGTCCGGTGCCAACAGGAAAAGGACCAGTGCGGGCGTTGGAGGCCTCCTGGGCCCGGCGCTCTGGTGCCAGAGAGCAGAGGTCCCCAAGCAGGTCTAACATGCTCGCCCTTCCCAGGCACCAGCCGACCTTCCCCAGCCCCACCCCACCTCCACCCAGCAGCACCCCCTTCTGAAACAAGGCCCCCTGCAGTCAGGATGATGTGCACGGTCCCATCGCCATGCCCTTGGCCAGCCTAGTGCCTCATTACAGCTGCGTGACCTCCAGCAGTCCCCTAATATCCATGAGACTCAACGTCCTCTATGTAAAATGGGGACACTAAGGTCCGGATAGGCTAAGATTATTGTGAGGATTAAATGGACACAGAGAGGCGAGTGCTGTGCTCAGGGGCCTGGCCCACCGCGAGCCCTGGGCAGGAGCCATAGTGATTTCACTGCTGATGAAGCCTGGAGCTGGGGCCCCTCAGCAGCCCAAACCACCCCCAGGGCCTCGGCTCCACTGGACAAAAGCCCCAGAAGCCTGCAGGGGTGCCCCGGGCCAAAGCCACAACTGTGAGGGAGGCGGAGGGGGGACTTCATCTGCACCTTTTACAGAATGCTGTTTTCTAAGGCTTTTGCTGACCGGGAGGGTGGGGAGGCAGAGCAGGAGCCAGGACCTGGGCCTGAAGGAGGGGCAGGGCCGCTGCAGAGCAGGGAGAGGGGGAGAAGTGACGCCCTCCTGTCCGCCTGTCTGCCTCCACCTCCTGGGAAACTGCCCAGGAGCTCCCAAGGTCGCCGCCACTCAGCCAGCCCCAGAGGAGTCCGTGGGAGGCAGCCATGAGGAACCCTGCCCGCCCAGCCTGTCCCGCCCTCGCTCCCTGGCCGTTCACATGGCCGGGGGCAGCTGGGGCCCCACGCCATGGGGGCAGAGTTTCTGGGCCCCAGGATGACACCTCCTACCCCAAAGCCTCGATCAGGAGTGACAGGAAACCCACCTACTCCAGCCCCAGTGAATGAGCGAGGAACGTGGAGGGGCTCCTGCTAGCCACCCAGACAAACCCATGAGGAAGCACTGGGTCCTGGTTCCACACAGGTCTCCTCGAGGTCCCCAGCCCCTCCATCCCGCTGAGACTCCTTTGTGAAGCTCCTCCTGGGCCTCTGGTCTCCGGGACAACGGGGATGGGATGTGAGGAAAGGCCAAAGGACTGCCCTTCTGAGAAGCAGGAAACTGCGGAGCCCCCAGCAACAAAGCTGGGTCCCCACTATGGGCAAGGTGACTGGCTGCACCTTCTGCCCTGCCCAGGTGGAGGGGCACCTGGTGCCCACATGGCCTCCTGAGCCCTCTTCAGCGCTGCCCCTCCCGCCGCCCCCTCTGTGAGCCAGGCCGGGGCACTCACCATTCTCTGCATGTTGGCCGCAGGGGGGTGCACCCGGCTGCGCAGGCGGTTGTGCAGGGAGAGGAGCAGGAAACTCTCCTTCCTGCTCAGGGCTGGGGTGGGAGACACGGTCAGGCCCACCTCAGCGGCGGGACCTGGGCCCGTCTCCTGGGTGATGAAGTGGGGGTCACCATGTTAAGAGGAGAATGCAATTCTGCCCTTAGGAAACAAGACCTGAGGCGGGACGGGAGGGTGATGCATGTGCTAGAAGGATCTGGAGCAGAGGGATGGGGAGATGACGCGGGGAGAAGTCGGGGCGGGAGGGGACAGGTGGACAGGACTGCTTGGGCTGAGAGCCCAGATGGGCGAGGTAAGGGGAATGGGGGCTGGAGGTTGCATGTGAGGAGGGGGCCAGCCCTGGGCTTGCAACAGTCCCCTGGCTGGGGCTCCTCTTGGCCAATTTGTCCCTCCCAGGGCCCCAGCTGCAAACTCCAGGCCATATTACTTCTTGACCCCCAAGCCTGGGTCCACACCCCTTCATTCTTCCTCTGCCCCAGCCCAGCCTCCCCAATCTGTCTGGGCCCCGAGACTGTCCAAGTGTCGCTCTTTAAACCACACCAGCATGCCCAGGGTTCAGGCCTGGAGCTAGCTTCCAGAAGCCCCCTCGCGCCCCTCTGCGGAGGTCATACCTCTTCCACCTTTCCTGACCCAGGACCCCTTACCTCCAGACACTGGAGCCTGATCCTCCCGCAGCTGGAGTGGCAGCACCTCTGCCCAGGCCGTGCCCAAGAGAGCCAGGAGCACGGGCAGGAGGCCAGGCCAGCGGCCCCCCGGCCCAGAGGGGGGCCCCAGCTGCAGCATGGGGCCTGCGGGGCGATCCGGGGGCAGCCTGGCTCAGCTGTCCAGCGTCCAGCTAGCTTCACAGGCTGGATGGAGCTATTCACAATCTCAAGGAGTCAGGCTGGGCTGGCAGACAAAAGGAGGAGGCTGGTGAGTAATCCGTGTGCCCAAACAGCCTCCCATCCGAGCTGGTGTGAAAAAAGTCTGATAGTTGCAATCCGGGCCACCCCTCCAACAGCCGTCCTACAAACCAAGTGGTGTGCACTGACCCCGTGGCCCCTGCTAATCATTGCAGGATTATTAGAGCCCTCGGGGAGCCCTTGGAGACCTTGCTGATTGGCTCACAGACATTCCAGGGCTGCGGATTAACAAATGGTGGCCATGCCCTGGCCGGGACAGTGTCCTTCGGGCCCATCAGTGGCTTTGAACTGACTCCCAGCCCCAAACCCAGGCAGGAGGCGGGGACCATAGCCATGTGCCCTGTGGGTGGGCAGGAACTGGGCAAGACCCCAGGGGAATTCTTTCCTTTCTTGGGAAGCTGGCCCCAACCCCCAGCCATGAATTAAACATGGGCAGGTGGTAACTGCACACCAGACAGGTACCATTGGTGGGTGGGAGCACTGGGGTCATAGGCTGTAGGGAAGTGGGCTGGGGCTGCGCTTGTGGGAGGAAAAGGGTGTAGGACAGCCCGCGTGGGCCATGTGGGGGGGCTGGGCTCCACCCCTGATTCTTCCCCACCCCCTCCCACGTGACTCTCCCAGGCCAGGAGAGGGCTAGGGCAGCAGGAGGAGAGCATGTGACGCCCTTGGCTGACTCCAGTCCTGCTGGAAACAGGTTGGCCTCTAGACAAACGGGCGGTGTAGTTAGGGGGCGGCGAATTGCCATGATGCTTTCGGTCTGGCCGTGGCCTACACAATCCCACCAGAACAGGCTGAAGCCGATCTGCACCGCGGCTCACATTGCTTAGAACATAAAGGCTGTCTTGCAGGCCACAGGCAAATGTCCGCATTCCCCAAGGGGCAGATCAAAGGTTATTCAGCCATGCCAAGGGGCAGCCTGGCAAGTGGACTGCTTCTTCCTTCTGGAGTTTGTATGCCCCCTGACCCCTGGGCTGGCACCCTCTCACAGCTGGGTGGCAACTTCCTGGGAAGCTCTGCTGAGATGCAGGTGTGCTTGGCTTTCCACGAGAACACTGGGGGAATGTGGATATCATCGTGGATACTGGGGGGTGAGATAGAACTAGGCACAGGACCCCTAAGCCAGCTTGAGGCTGTGAGCCCCCTACCATACCCAGGGCCTCAGGAGTTTCTAATCCCTCCAATGTGTGACCAGACAACCTCAAACTTATCCCATCTAGACCCCAGCCATGCCTAATGATAGCAGCCTTTTTCTACAGAGCTTGCAAATCATGTTTTCATATGTTGGGTTCACGTAATTGTTGCAACGACCCTGTGCAGTTGTGGTGCCCATTTTGTAGACGAAGAAGCTAGGCTCAGTGTGTCTGACGGACTTGCCTACGGTCACACGGTGCGTGCCAGCTAATCCAGGGTCTCCATCTGCAGGCTCCCAGACACTGGTGCCGACGGCTGTGATGCCCTCGCAGCCCCTTGAGCTCCATTTCCACAGCCCTGCTCTGTGGTACCCAGAGACCCAAGTCCTGCGTCTGGCTTTGGTGGTAAATGTGGTTAGTTGTTCCGTAGCACAATGCAGGCGCTTGGGACAGGTGGTAAGAAGGTATATTTTGGGGCCTGGAGTTGAGCGACTTTTGAGGGGCCCTGGCTCACTGCAGGCAGAGGTCAGGGTGAGCTCTGTCTGAGGAGCAGCTGAGGGGGTAAAGCGCCAGACCAGACACCTGAGGGCCCGGGTTCTCACCCAGACTCTGTATGACATGGAGATTGTCACTTCCACCCTGGCGTCAGTGTCCAGTAGTGTGAAGCAGGGATGACAGGCCCCGTGGACTCCCTAACCAGGTGCTTGGGACACTGCACCTTGGTTGTCACGGTGTTTCCTCCCCGGCTCAGCCTTTTTACAGGAGCCTGCTGTGTGGCTGGGGTGGGTTTTGAGAATGGGCGTCCCCTTTCTTGCAAGGCAAATTTCCCCAACAAGTGAAGTCTATTCCTATTTCTATTAGCATAGATCTGTTTTATTTGTTCTGAGTTTCATATAAACGGACCCATAGAATATGCATGCTCTTAGGCCTGGATGCCTTTGCTTCACATGTCGGTGAGATTCACGCATGTTGTTGCCTGTATCAGCAGGTTGTTTTTGTTCTTGTTTGTTTGCTTTTCATTGCTGGTAGTATTTCATATTTTCATTCTCCTATTGATGGACATTTGAACTGTATTTAGCTTTTTTAAAAAAGATTTATTTATTTATTTATCTTTAGAGAAAGGGGGAGGGAGGGAGAAAGACAGGGAGAGAAACAACGATGTATGAGGGATCCACTGATTGGTTGCCTCTTGCTCACGTCCAACCAGGGACCTGGCCCACAACCCAGGTATGTGCCCTGACTGGGAATTGAACTGGCGAGCTTTCAGTTCACAGGCCAGCACTCAATCCACTGAGCCACACCAGTCGTGGCTTAAGCTTTTATTATCAATTAAGTTGCTGTAACTGTGGTGGCACAATTTAAATTTTTCTTTTAATAAATATCTAGAAAAGAAAGAAAAGACAAAATCACCCAAATCAGGAAGAAGGAGGGTACATCATCACAAGTGATATTACAGACATCGAAACGGTTGTAAGAAAATACTAAGAACAACTTCTGTCACCAAAACAAACAACATAAGCACAATGGCCAAATTCCTAGAAAGATAAATGACCAAAATTGACTCAAGAAGAAATAGAAAATCTGAATACATCTATCACAATAAAAGAAATTAAGTGAGTGATTAAAAATCTTTCCACAAAGAAAGGCTTAGGTGCAAATGGCTTCTCTGGTGAATTCTATCAAATATTTAAGGAAGGAATAATGCCAATCATATACAAACTTTTTCAGAAAACAGAAGAGGAGGAGAAGAATTTCCCAACCTATTTTACAAGGTCAGTGTTGTCTTCATACCAAAACTGAACAAAGGTATCACAAGAAAACTATCGATCAACATCCCTCATGAAGATAGACACAAAAATCCTCAACAAAATGTTATAAAACCTAATCTAGCCACATATAATAATATTAAACACCACGACCAGGTAGGATTTATTCCAGGGATGCAAGGTTGGTTTTAACATTTAAAAATCAAACAATATAATGCACTGCATTCATAAAACAAAGTATAAAACCCACATGATCATCTCAAAGATACCAAAGAGGCATTTGATAAAATCCCAACCTTTTCCTTATGAAAAGTCTCAACAAACTAGGAACAGAAAAGAAAATCCTCATCCTGATTAAGGGCCCCTTAATCAGTTGGTGTATCTCTCACACATTGATGTTTCTCTCCCTCTCTTTCTATCCTTCCCTCTCCCTCTAAAAAATAAAGTAAATAAAACCTTTTTTAGAAAAGAGGTAAATAAGGTTAAAGGAGGCCATTGGGTTGGGCTCTAACCCAGCATGACTGGTGCCCTTATAAGAGAGGAGGAGATATTAGAACACACATATACAGAGAGGAATCCATGTGAAGACACAGGGAGAAGAGGGCCATCTGTGAGCTTAGGGTAACAGCCCTCAGAAGAAGCCAACCGTGTTGACACCTTGACCTTGGATATCCAGCCTCCAGAACTGTGAGTAAATAAAATCCTGTTGTTAAAGCCACCTGGTCTGTGGTAACCTTGTTATAGCAGCCCTAGAAAACTAACACAGCCCCTGTTAAAACTTTACAGCTAACATACCTAATAGTGAAAGAGGAAAATTAGAAACAAGGCAAGGATGTCTGCTCTCCCCACTTCCACTCAACGCTGTGCTGTTGAATACGCAATTAGTGCAATAAGTCCAGAAAAATTAAAGGTGTCCAGATTAGAAAGGAAGGAGTAGAACTGTCTTTAATTGTATATGATATGATCCTGTATATAGAAAATCCTAAAGAATTTTTTTCAAAACCTACTAGAACAAAGGTCTCAGGATACAAAATAAAAATACAAAAATCAATTGTATTTCTAAAAACTAGTAATAAGCAATCTAAAAATGAAGTTAAGAAAACAATTTAATTCACAATGCCATCAAAAAGAGTAAGACATGGACACATAAAACTATAAAACATTACTGAGGGAAATTAAAGAAAATCTAGATCAGTGGAGAGACATTCCACATTCATGATTGGAAGACTCAATATTGTTATGATGGCAATTATTCCCAGATTGATCTACCAATTCAATGAAATTTCTATAAAAACCCCACAGCCTTAAAAAAAAAAAAAAGAAAAAAGAAAAAGAAAGAAAAGAAAAGAAGACGAAGAAGAAGAAGTGGATCCTAAAATGTTTGTGGAAAATCAAAGGAGTTAGAATAACCAAAACAATTTTGGGGAAAAAAAAGAATTGGAGAACTTATACTACCTGATTTCAAAACTTGTATGAAAATATAGATCACAACCATATGGTATGGAGAAAGGACAGACATATAGATTAAGGGAACAGAATAGACATCTAGAAATAAATGGTTAAATTTGTGGCCAATTGATTTTTGACACAGGTTCCAAGACAATGGGGATAGAGTAATCTTTTCAACAAATGGTTCTGGGACAACTGGACATCCATATGCAAAAGTATGAATTTACACAGTTACTTCATGCCACACACAAAACGTATTTCAAATGGATCTGAGATGTAAGTATAAGAACTAGAACTATAAGAGACCTAGGGAAAATAATAGGAGAAAATCTTCATGTTCAGTTAGGCAAAGATTTTTTTTTAGATCCAGCATCAAAAGCACAATTCACAAAACAAAAAAATTGATAAAACAGATTTCATAAAAACTAAAAACTTTTGGCTGTCAAAAGACACCTTTATGAAATGATAAGTCATACACTGAGAGAAAATATCTACATATCATATCTGAAAAGGGATTTATATGCACTATGCAAAGA